TTTTTTTTTTTTTTTTACAATTTTGTTTTGTTTCAGCCGCCTTCGTTGTTCCTGTTTGACCGAGCTATCACAGCTCACGAACGGGGAGGGGGAAAAACAACAACAACAACAACAAAAGAAGAAACAAAGAATACAGTCATATCGAGCGAGGATCGAAGTGTGGATTACGGACTATTGCAAGTAACGCATCCATAACTGTGAGAGATAATCCTTGTCCCCCTCTTGCCGATAACATTATTGCTGTTATTTTTCGTGCAGAGTCATAATGTATAACATTCTCATTATGACCTGCGACCCCGTTGTGTAATTCATTCGTCAACATTTTCATTGAAAGGTTCACTTCCTGTCCCCGCGTGGATGGTTCCTTGAATGTGTGCTGGAGTTGGGTCATCATCTCTGTCATCCCCTGTCGGTACCATGTTCTCATCACCACTAGATGATGACACCAGGTCAATGATACTTGTAGAGCATCCTCGTGATCGATGTGAGTTCATAGCTTGTGTACTTTCAAATGCACGGCCGCAATCACATGTCATGTATCCATGTGTCGCCATCATCAACTGCAATTCCTCGTACTGCACTTTCTTTGTTACATATTATGAATGAGAGTTCTGGTAATATATGAATGGAAAAGATCAACCTTTTCATATCAGTTGTTACTCGTCTACGAGGTCGACAATTTTGCAGTGCTGTATTTTTATTTTTATTTTTTTCCCCTGTTATTTTGCAAACATACACATCCATATCTTTATGATGGAGAGCAATTCGGTTTTTCGTCCTCGCAGATAAGGCACACAATTCAAGTACCCGCTCATGTTCAATCTCCTTCCAAGCCTTCACATATGTTTATAGTATCAATTTCGTTGTTTGCAGAACGGGTAAAAACAAAAAAAAATCCCCCGTTACTCCTCGCCCCCGCGTGCATTTATGAACACACATGCGATACAGCAAGGACCAGAATCATATGCAAAAGAGAGGCCTGAACCATACCTTGAAGGTGAGGTTATAAGGGTCCACTTTCGTCGTATGCGTAGCAGGGTCGGCAGGTACGCTGTTTTTCGACTT